GAAGAAGCAATGGGGTGATGAAGCTGCGAAGATCATCTCTACGCTTGACGCTCGATGGGCACCGTGTTTAGGATGGCTCTTGAGTCAGTTGGATCCAGGGCATGATAGTCATATCTTTGATCTCACAGACATAGATGTTCTTACCTGGGTCAATGCAGGAGATGGCGACCATGTATAGTTTATACCACGCTTCCGAAAGATAGAATTTGTACATCATACCTGTATACCCTTAGTATATGACAATGTTACCTAACAATCTGGCGCTATTCCCGCCTACAGCTGACCCTGCTTTTCTTGATCGCCATTGTATACGTATTCCTAACCCGTCATATTTGGGTTCCTTGGCGCCCGACGTTATTCGCCCTGAATAAGCACACGTCTCTCTGTAGAATGCTATACCCAGTGATACATCCACTATCACTGCGGAGCTGATGCTATGTCTTCGTAGTCGTGAGGGCGAGCCTACTTTTAGCCTACTTTTAATATGATTAGTTCTCATGGTCGATTAAGACGCCGGGAAACTTAGGCCGGACTAGGACGCTAAGGAACGTATTATGCGTATGTGTCCTGCTGCGGTCATTGCCCTCGTCAGTCTTCGAAAGCTAGGGCAGTGCTGGAAATTATCAGACTGCGAGGAATGACAAGTGGCTGAAACGTACAGAATGATGCGTTTGAGATGAAGAACGTAGCTCCTTCTGAATATCAAACTGGCTGCGGGATAGTTCTACCGTGAACATAAATTTATATGGCGACGGTAATGGGTTGTCTTTAAAAGAGTAGCTATATTCACAAACAACAAAGGTGTCGACAACAGGCAGTACCTGCTCATATAAAACAGACATATGACCCTACGAACTTCACTTTAGATTTACACTAATAATTCGCCAGGGACGGACTTGCGACGAAAAGCAATCCGAGTCTTCTTTTCATCGATTCTGAGCACTGGCCGAAGGAAATTGTCCTCCCCCGCTCGGGAACTAAACGAACAATCCTAGTGAGTCATCACATGAACTTGAAGACTGTGGAGAGATGATTAAATTTACTAGATCTGCTTGAGCAAAAGGATATGAACATACGACGGTCGACGTATACATATCTGGGGCACGATACCATCATTTCCTAACTCGTAGCGTAAAAAGAGGTGCCCTCGCACTTCAGAGTCAATGCGCCGAGATTCTCTGACATGGTCGTAGTCGTATCGTTCCTCCCAGAAGTTATTAGTCAGATCGGCATGAGAGTGACCGTATCCAACATCCAGGCAGTCCGATCGATGCGCCCTGAAGGATTATCCACCGACTCTGATACCGCACGCCGATTTCTGGATTTTACTTGCTGCCGTACCTACAAGTGGAGTAAGGCGGGTAGAGATATCATTCAGGCGATGCGGACTAGTCAAGGACCAAGGCGTCCATACAGATAAACCAGTTACTGATTCGCGGGCTACCGGCTATGCTCTGAAAAGTATGGCAGGCGTTGAAGCCAAAGCTGAGTTGCTAGGACTGACTAGGATTGGTACGTTGTCCCGTAAGCTATGCAGGTTTTCTGTATGTACAACATACGTGAGTTTCCGTACAAAATTACTCATACTAGGTGTCACGCACCGCAGCTTTAGTATGCGGGGGAAAATATCAATCACAAATATACCACATTGGTACGGATATTGGAAAAAAAAACGGCTTTCTTGTAGTCCGCCACTGCAGGGCTTATGGTATTTGGGCGCGGAGGATGACGGAAACAGAGTTCGAGCTAGTTGACCAGCTGGTATTGTCAGGGTATCAAACAGAAAAAAGTTATCACATAAGCCGCTCTTATATGAATACGCGGCGCACCATGATAGCGTCTGTCCTCCCGTCCATCGCAGCGCCGCAATGCGCATGGCCATGAAGCGCCTGGGGAACTTCCATTTGTTCGAATTCCCGGCTTAGTCGTCTTCAGATTGCGCAACGTTCGTCTGGTATTGGGTTCCCTAACGGGATGGAGAGCCTGCGGAGAGCGAGGCGGTCATGGGACATCGATAATGGAAAGTGTACGAAGGCCCTGTAACGCCGGCCCGGAAAAATCGCGTCGATGGCGTGGGAACCGGAGGCCTCCGACGTTTCCATTGGCCTTGTGGATGCAAGCGTCTGCCTTACTACGTCTATGCTGCGACTACTTAGTCAAGCTATTATTTATCAGCCACCTTGATCGATGTCATTGACAGTATTTCATGAGTGGATACAAAGGGCGCATTAGCTGGTGTGTTTAGAAATTTGGTTCGCCAAAGGACTGGGTGGTGATTCGTGAATGCCATTCGCGGTTGCCTTGGGCCTACAAAACGAAGCGTATTCACGATATCCTTGTTTCTCGAATATGATCGGCTTCTCATATGGTGTAACACTTGGCATTCTTCCGTAAGTCTTCAGGTGTCGCGAGGGAAGGTTCTGTGAACGTCTTACCTTATTTTTCAAGCACCTCTACTCATCGCTCTGATGCCAGATACTCTTCCGCTATAGCACATGCATCTATAAGCACCCAGTACCCCGCGCTCAACGCCTCTCTCCAAACACGTGGCCAGGCTAGTCAAAGCTTCAAATACACCATGAAGGGCGACGATGGCTGTCATAGAGCTGCTTGAGGTACAAGTCCAGAAGCCTTCAGAGGTGCAACGCGCCCCGGAAAGAGGAATATCGAGGCCTTCTGGATAATTGAGGGAGTTAATGTGGCAGTGAATCGGTGTATAAACATGTACGTAGGTTGTGGACGTGTTGGTAATATAATGCATTGAATAAATCTGTGCGATTAATGGCGAACAGACCTTCCAAAGAGAATAGCAGGGGTTTGATACAATAAATTGGCGTTCAGATAAAAAGACGAAAATCAAAACTGCATGGGTACACAATACGCATCAAAATTTGTCGGGAGAATTGAATGTTGGAAAAGAGTCATATATTGAATTGAATTCGCCCTACACGAAATGATTGAGCGAAAAAATTAATGATAGAATAACGAGGTTCTTACCGTGTTACCATACAGACCCGAAGACATAGCGAGAGAATACTAGAATTCCGGAAGTGGTGAGCATGCGAGGAACTAGCAAAGCAGCGAAACACGCTCACATTAATCTCACTGAGCGGGCTTTGGTTATCAAAATACCCGTTAGTGGGGATCTCGAAATGGACCTGAAGTCAACGTTGAGTAAAAGGCACTCGGAGCAACAAATGCCAAGACTCACCATATATTCCGGTTCGAAGGAAGCTGTGGCAGAAAAGAAATGGCCCTCGTCACGAGAACTCATAGACAGAATACTGGCATTGAACTGAGGTTCTATCGTCTCTGTCTTCCACACACGTGGACCGGGAATAGTAGGCTGAGCATGTGTAGGAGAGCGCGCTGGTTGTCGAGAGACGCGCTTCTTCGGAGGCTCGACCTGGGGTGTCTCCGGTATCGGGGGCATATTCCTCACCGCGTCCTCTAAATCAGAGCCAGTCATCCCAGCTGACATCAAATGAGCAATATCTTTCGACCTTTTGATGTGGTCCTTCGATTTGCGCTTCACCGTCCTCTTCTTGATCTCCGTGGCACGCCTCTGCGGCTGGTAAACGTAGTCCGGATAGAGTTCCTCGTGTCTCTTCCTTTCTTCGAGGGCGCGACGGTAGTAGTGTGCCTTTTCGTCCTCCGACAGGTTCTTCCACAACTGTCCGATGATCCTGGAGAGGTGACGACTGTCGTGCTCGGCGCCTTTGGGAATCATCTTCTTGTCGACGACGTCTTTGCGGAAGATGAAATAGCAGTTCAGAGGTCTGGGGATATGGTTCTTCTTACGAGAAGAATCGTTGGTGGAGGAGAACTCGTCGGAGTGAGAAGAAGAGGATGGAGATGGAGATGGAGTGTCGATGAACTCGGGTGTCGAAGGGGCGGTATCTGGGTAGGGGGACGTGACAACCTTGAAGATGTACTGCTGAGGTCGGCTAGTATAGACGTAGGCTGGGAAGAGAGCGTCAGTACAGAGTCCGACGCGTAGTAACCAAGTCCACGTACCATAGTGCTCGGTAGAGTACTGGTGGGAGTGAAAAAAGCTGGACATGAGGAGGAGGATAAGCGCGATGAAAGGAGACAAAGAACAGAGCAGTCGGGTCCCCCCATTTTATATTTGCGGGCACAGGCATTCTCGACATGACGATCACAGAGAGAGGTTGAATGCGATCAAAAACCCATTCACGTCTGACAGCTCGCCGTCTCAGAAAGGAAATTGTGTGACGTTCCTGGAGGGTACCCTTTCACCGTTCGTTAACTGAGTGGTAAAGTTCCCACGATTGTTATAAAGGTGAAAGAGTGAAGGGGCTGGCCGAAAACAGGTGAATGCGAAATCAAATGCGGAACGTGATCCTTTTGCTCCCAAATCAGGTACTCGTCGGGTCGCGATTCCGAGGATATCGTCTGAACTTGGTCATACCATGGCAGAGTCAGGTGTTTCCCCTATGCGAATTCAGACTTGGTGGATACTCGCACGACAAATCATGGAAGGCGTAGACAGTGCCGTTGAGCATGATAAGGCACCATCGAAGGTACCGAAGCCTACCGATACGCGGCTGCGGACCGTCGTGGACACATAAAACACTTGAACGAAGACGTAAGGACTATAGAATACTTAGTCAATCGTTGATAGCGTCGTTGCCACATGCTTTCCCGAGTCAGCAATCTAAGATGCATAAACACGGCAACATGAAGGACTATCCATACTGTAGATGCTAGAACATAGACACCAGCAAAGAAATGGAAGATCACTGAAGTGTGTTAGTATGCGCAAAGTGTGTGGCCTAGAAACGCAGAACGATCAGGCTGTCAGCCTTAAGAATGAAGCCCCAAAAGTAAACGGAATACTACCATGGGAAATATAGCCACTAGATATGTGCTCCTCCTTTGACCTACCCATTTTATCTGCTCTCTTCATGGTCAAGTCGCACTTCATCTGACTTTAGATCTGTGGGATTGTTAAGACTAACGTTGGAAATTTTCTCATTGCCTGGCTAGCTCAATCGGATAGAGCGTCAGATTCTTATGCTGGTTGGCAGGCTATATATGTTGATCTGAAGGCTGCGAGTTTGACCCTCGCGGTGGGCTCCTGGGTGATTTTTGTCCTCTCCATGACCATTCGTATATTATTATCTTCCTCTTTTCCTTTGTTATTTATGAGTCGAGTCTTAGCCCTCGCTACCTGTCCTAAAATCCTTCCCCTACATATTCTTTTTCTTCTGGCACTTAGCACTGCATTCTGGTTTGTGTTCAATCTTTTCTGAAAGTCCATATCTTCCATCTTCTACAATTGGTACTTGGAAGTTCAAAATTACTTAAGTTCGAGACGTAGCTGCAATCCCTCGTGCACACAATAAACAAATGAATGAAGGTCTGAAGGCCATAGAATGGGCGCGCACAAGATGTCTGCTTCGCCACTGAAACCAGCTGGGTTTCTCCAATGAATGATGCTCCATTGACACCAGGAAGTCGAAGGTGTGCTGATTCAAAAGTTAAAACACTATGAAGGATGACTAGACGGTTAGACAGTGTGGTAGTAAATTATCAACAAGACTCGCGGCCTACTTGTACAATCAGTGGAGTACAACTATCCAGATATAACTCCCGCTCTACGGGCAACAAGTCCTTGTCCCGCTCCCTTTGACGCTCCAACATAGAAATGTCCATTTCGAAGTAGCTGTTCTCAGCCGCAAAAGCATAATCGTCATCATCCGGGTCGGAGTTTTCGTCGAAGCCAGGAATATCGAGCTGGGGCTCATCTAAAATGCATGTCGTAGTTTGCGGGTCACAAGGCGACCAATCGAGTGGTCCATCACTCATGGCCTCAGGCAAAGCAGTGAATAAGCGCCTGAACGACCGATAGTCGGGAAGCTGATCGAAATCGATGGAACAGCTGTAATCAAGCAGGTCACCGAATTCGACAGGAAAGCCCGAAGACAGGCCTTTCCCTGAACAGCTCGATTTCATGAGTCGGATAATCTCTTGTGAGCGCACCCGGGGCTCCAAGCGTGAACGAGGTTTCCAAGGCAAGTGACCGAGGAGGAGGAAGAGCGCGATGTAAGCCAAAGACTCGAGATCATCGCGGGGAGCAAGATCTACAGCTCAAAAATGAGTGACGGTATTACAAGAGGTGTTAACATACACTGACCTACCCCATTATGAGAATGAAGGCTTGCCCAGTAGGGAGACCCGACGAGGGTCTTGCAATCCTTCAACGGGTCGTACTTGTTGGGCGGACCATGGGAAATCGGCTTGGAGAGTCCGAAGTCGATGATTTTAATTGTCGAATCATCAAGTCCACAGAGAAGACTTTCATGCTTGATGTCGCGATGTAGGATTCCGAGCGAGTGGATATGCTCTAGTCCTGCTAGCTGTGCGCCTGGTTCAATTACTTCTGAGGCCTAACTTCGCGTTGTACCCACCACTTGATCCATGATTCATATGATGGTCTTAAACATCAGACCAGTCCGAGCACCGTTCTTCTTTTGCTGCTTGGCGACGCTCGGCCCCAGAATCTCCATGGCCATGTACTTGAAATGCCCCAACTGTCCGTATGCATGCACGCAGGGAATCGAGGCATGACCTTTCAAGAGGCGGATGATACGAGTCTCGTGCTGGAGAGTCGGTCGCCCCACTCTCGTCGAAACACGCGACATCTTGAGAGCCACCGTTTTCCCGGTTTCCACTTCGATCGATTTGAACACGATGCTCTATTGTTCGGTTTGAGTAACTGGAGAAAGGGGATAATTAAATACTGAGCTCACAGAAGCGCCCTCGCCCAAGAACTCTGTGCCGTAGGGCGCACGCCGGTACGTTAACCTGGTAGAGCTCATGGTGTGCTGGACAAGTCAGGATCTGGCAATCATAGATCAGTATGTAATTAGAATTCAGAGACTACAACCTCACTCCCGCCGTAGTCCTTTATGTAGCGTCTGTTTGAGAAAGAATTATAATAAAGTCATACGAAGGATCGGGAAAAAATGTGCGGAGAGAGTAGGACCAGGTTACTTACGTGGTTGGGCCGAGAAAGAGTCGCGCTGATGGCGTGGGAACTTCCGGCTTCTTATTTGTCGCCCACTTTATCGATGCTAATCCGGCTACTTACTGTTCCCCTTTGTGCGCCCGTGGTCTAGCCGTCATGCTGACAATTTCTGAACTGCAAGAACGATACGTACGCCTCTCTCTGATCTTATCCCGAGATAGTTGCTCCCTATTCCTGGTTTTCTTTAGGTTATCCGTTGCCAGCCGCACGTTCCTCTGTGACTGTCATAAGTGAACCCTAGACCGCACCATTTTGGCCTGCAAAATCATACAACAATGTGGTCATGAACTCGGGAGAAGAGGCAGTCCTATGAGGTACGTATAACTCTATCCGCAACCCATTTACGGACCCAAAAGACATGGAAAATCGTCGTCCATTCTTCGCACGTCTGAGAGTTCTCATTCATCTGTCGTAAGACATCGATCTCGATGACCATTCACGACTACGCTCTTCTACTATCTTACAAAATCTTGTAGAGCCCTTTTCTAATCCCACAGCGCTGCAAGTTGGCGCACGCTTCTGCATCCCTCTTTATAGCACTGGTCCTGCTAATAACCACCATGCTCGCGCGCAACTCCCGTCTCAAAATCGCCGACGTCGTTGAAGTCTCCGGTGTACCGTACATCGAGAATGTGTCCAGTGTTGCCGTACTCGTCTTGCTTGTCGAGGCCTGCGTAACCATCTTTTGCCATATGAATGCTGTTGCTGACTCTTGTGCTCTATAGTCAAGGGGGAGAATAAAGAGGATGTACAGGAGTTCCGTCCGAGAATCACAAACTCGATTCTTGTCATCGACAGTATCGTTCCTGTGTAAGGGAAACGGGGAGCTCTGTATTGTATGGATATTTGTGGAGAAATGGAAGGTGGATCACCGTTTTCATTGGTTGTCTTTCCTCGACGTCTACTCAAGGGTTTGATGTTAAAAGTACGGTGCACGATATTTACGAGCGGTGGAATCTCGACTCGTCGTCTGGTTGCCAGTTATTACACATTCAAGGTGCGTTGGCTAGTAACTGATACTGTATCATCATTTTGACTTCATCGACAGAAGAAATGTCTTTTCGCCGCCTTTTTTTCTTCCAACACCCACATTGAAAATTTCCTTGAGACCATCTAATCATCTGCCACGGATTGATGATGCCTGGTTCGCTATAATTTGCTTGGTTCATACGTCGCCATCGGCCGTTAGGGAACTTCCGCGTTCAACACGCTTGGCAGTGGTACCCTCAGATATTTCAGGGAACAGAGTGGTATATGACCGTCGAGCAAAGAGACGCCCTAGATTCTCAGTTGGCTGAGTTTTGACCTCGCCAAACTTCACCCTAAAATGACGCTTTGTCATCTAGAGAAAGACGGGTCGAAGTCGTCATAGTCGCGGAGGGGAAGGTAGCGAGGATTCGACTTGGGATGCCGGCGCTTTCCACGGCAAGGAGTAAGTTTCGCCGTGTACTGATCCTCGGATATTTGCTGACTGTCCCTTTCTTTCCTTAGCTTTGCCTTCCCCAGGCGCATATCCACGCCCAGCGACCTCTTCCAACAGTGTGGCAATGTCCTCAAGCAAAGTGTTCGGGAAGCGTCCTCATTTCTTTCAACGCTTCGAAAATCACATCTACAGATCCGAGTGATGCGCTAAATCGTTGTTCGCCTTCGAGTCCTCTGTGGGTCCTCATTCCCTTATTGCAGGGTATCGCTCTCGGTGGGTCCGTCATAATTATGATCTTCAGTTATCTTATCAGATTCTACGGTGTCTTTTCTCAAAGCCATAACACGCAGAGTTTGCCGAGTGCTTCTTTGCTTTCTACGGCACAGGTCTTACCGGCGACAACTATGCCCGCACCCAACATCTGTCTCTAAGTCCCTCGTCTCGCTGAAGCTGCTGGTGACAGCGTTCCCTACGTCGACAACGTCGCCGTAATCGCCTTCAAGCTCCTCGGGGTTTGTGTAACCATTCTTTGCCGTACGGACGTCGCCGCTGACTTCGTGTTCTACTGATAGCGTGAGCGAAGGAACAACAGAAATGCGAAGGAACGTCGTCATCAACACCCTCGTTCGTATGCAATGGAGCGGGGAGCCTCCAAGTCGTGTTTTATGAACATATGCGAGGAGATGGAAGGGCCGGTAATGTTTTTCGTTGGTTATCACTTCTCCGCGGCTAATGGTTTAATCACAGGTACCTTCAAGGATTGACGCAAGAAAGGAGATCAAGCGCAAACACCATGAGCTGCAGATCGGTGACTGCCCTTTGGAGGTTATGCGTGCACTACCTTGTTGAACATTGAAAGTCTTTAATGTGTCGCTCGGAGCAACATTTCGTGATCATGATTCTGAAAGAAAACCACTGCGGTCAATACCTTATTTTTTTCCTGCTATGGTAGAGCGAACTTTATCGGTTGATATAATGTATTAGACGTGTTTTTGATTGCTCTCTATCACCTCGATACATACGCACGGTCGCCCTTTCAGAGACGGCGTATCATAGCGTACGAGCTGCTTGCACCTGCACTCCTAGTAAGTAGCTATTTCGGGTCAGGTCAAAACCGATAAGAATGGATAGGTGACATATGAAAGTTCGAACTGGCCTTTGACCACAGCGAAGTAGGTCGGGATTCTTTTCCATGTAAAGCTGATGGATATTACTGTTGCCGGAAGAATATGTCAAATTTTCATCTCTATTCTGATTGTTTCCCTTACATTTTGACCGGCGCGAGTCCGTCACCTACCAGGAGTGCTGCCAAATATGATATATCTGGATATCGTACCGGTGCTATTCTTCCTGCTGTCCATCGGACACGATGAGCTCAAACGTACCATCATCTACTTTGATTGCTCTCCGAAACTTTTACACACCCATCACTATGAACATAAAAATCAGCAAATTCAGCATCAATAATAAATTATCTACCTGGTATTTTCGCAGCAATAACATCATGTTCTGATGGAGAAACACATTAAAGAATACTCCAAATACGCACTTACAAACACGCAGAGCAAAACGACAGCTTGCCAGAGACATCGCATTTCTACTTGCAGCTCACGCCAGGTGTCA